TCTTCATTCATTCGGCGGGCAATGCGGGGGTGTTCCACTTTGTAATGTGCTAGCGATCAGTTGAACGAAGGAGGTGTATATACATTCGTGATGGAACAGGAGTTTTTAACTGTATTAGGGGAAGAAAGAAGCGGCCTCCTTTTCATTATACCGATGTGAAGTTTTGTTTTTGCTGTAGCCGATGAACGACCGTTCAAGTGTACGCTGTGTGAATACAAGTGCCGCTCAAGAAACAATCTCATAGTGCACATTCGAAACCACACAGGGGAAAGGCCGTTCCATTGCTCGGAGTGTGGCCGCACATTCACAATGAAAAGTACGCTGGACCAGCATTTGGCTGCTCATTCGGAAACCAGGTACTGCACTCTCTGGTCTTTCTCTATTCCCGGCACTTTTTTGCCAGTGTTTTCTATATAACTGAGTTTGTTTCGCGACCACGCGCTTTGCGCCTTCCGCATTTTGTGACTATCGATGTGAGTGGCTGTATTTTACAAAGTGGATCGTGACAAATTTTATTTGTGAACTTGATTTTCGTGGCAAAGTTTGGTCATTTATGAGACGAACGATCAGAAGAAGGCGCAACATTTGTGAAACAGATGACCAGGCGCAGCAGGGCCATTTGGACAGTTTTAACGAGTGCTTACTGCTTCACAGTTTGTGATTGTTCAATTGGGTGACTGGTTATGCTATTTCAGGCCGTACAAATGCCATCATTGCGATTTTTCCACGAAATATCAGAGCCATTTGATTTCCCATCGCCGCATTCACTCGGGCGACGTTTTTCACTGTCATTACGATGAATGCAGTTACTCATCTCCGAAGAAAAGTCAACTCGCTGCGCATCTAAGGTATGTCCCCTAAGCAGGAAAAAGAGAGGGTTCGAAAACTGCATCGTCAGCTAGGACGTAAAGAATGGGGAAAGGAGATGAACGGAGAGGGGCGGATATCACGGCTGAGTTTTCTTCAAATTTAGCTCGTCGTCTTAACAAGAAAGGGACGGACGGACTGATCTCTGGCTGAGATTGTGGAATCCGAATTCATTTCATCATCATCATCGTCTTAAGAATGAGCCCTTTCGGTGGAATCTGAACACACTTTATCATCGTATTCCTACGCATTTACACCTTTCTGTTGCACTTTCAACAATGAAGAAACAATGGCGCTTACGAAAAGAACGAGTACAGTGGTGCAACAGTGACTCCACAGAGCACATTAAATGACGATTTGGATTATTAGCAACTGTTTTAAAAATACTTTTTGCTTGAAAACTGACATGTGAATGCAAAATCACAAGTGTCTTCCTAGTCTCTGTTCACTTTTCAGGACTCATTTGGCGGTACGAGCACATCACTGTAAAACATGCAATCGTTCATTCATCGAGAAGTCACATTTGGTGAGGCATGAAAGGATACATCTTGAAGACAAGCCTTTCAAGTAGGAGTCTTTCTTTGAATATTTTTGCTTGAGAGTTTGCTTAGCACTCAGCCTCCGCATGTATTTACAGATGCGATAATTGTGATTATTCCTCGTCGAGACGCGACAAACTGAAGGAGCATATCCAGAAACATCATAGCAGCATGAGCAGCGGCAAACAACATCGGCGCAGGTATCGTCGTGCGAAACAGCTAGCACAGCTTGTCGCTGCACAGGCAAAAGTCGGTTTTTTTTTTTTTTGTGAATTTGCCCCTCAGACAGTACATTTCTGAATCTGGCTTCACTGTCTCTAAGTTTTCTGTTTCTGGTAGAACTCGGCAGAAGTCTTTTGACGCAACGCATAAGTTGGCTCGTGCCAAAAGCTTCTACACTTGTTTTAGTTTTCACACTGGGTTCATCCTTGTTCCTCTCATCCCTTGTCTTGCCTTTCTTAGGGTGTGTGAACCAGTACACTGAAGAAGCCGGAAGTGCTATTGTGCTGGTAAGAAGTCTGCAAATGTGGTTGTAAACAATACTTCCGAGACTGTGAAATTCCAGCCGAGAAATTAGGGCTTTTCTGAATATTTTACACGATGGATGTGAAAGAGCTATGTTTGAAAAATTTTTGAATTTCAGCAAGTACAGCCGAATCTTGAATGCATTTTCCGGCCGATTCCAGCCTCCGAGCTTGTCGATAAATCGTCCAGTAGCTTAAATGGACCTGTTCCAACCGGCACATCACAGCTGAATTCCCAAAATGCGCCCGATTTCTCATCTTCTGATATATCTCAACTTCGAAACGAGAACCATCGGGCGCCAGCAGGCGAGCATGTTAGTGGAACGCAACAAACGCATCCACACTCACTGATGGATTTTTCATCCTTACTTACCTCAAACAGTTTGAACCCGGGACGTCCATCGTCAGCTGTTGTACCGGCCACCACAGCAATGCCTGTTTCACCAGCAATGAGTCTCAATTTTCATATCGGTAATGTCTACTTTATTTTTGATTAATATCATTCGTTCGGTTAATTCTGAACGATGAGCTGGCTACGCTTATGGGGAGAGGACTGCCAGAATTTTTCGCGTGTACATGCGTAAGAATACTTTAGCAAAAATAATCTGCAGATAATTTTGCCCATTGTCATTCAGTTCCTTAGTCACTACTGGCAGTTATAGTGCAACCAGTGTATTGTAATCAGACTGTAGATTTTTCGGATCTGTCGCTTGTTTTATATAAAATTTATGTTTTTAAAGTGCTATTTGCGAGCTACACGATATAAAAACAATTGTCTGTGACTTTTCTCAATTTTATGAGCTTACACGCAGGGGGAGCTGTCGATTCGCAAACTGCGCTGCATCACTGGTGCCCTCGAGCTATCGGACTTGACGAGCCGTGCCTACCAGCTAACTAGTAGTGACGTGCAGATACGAAAGGTGGTAATTAACAAAAGCAGAGGAGCCAGCTGGCTGTGATGTCGAGCATTATGGCGAAGAATGTTTGGATTGCCTTTTCAAGGCCGTATAAGCATTCAGCCTCCCAGTCAAACGAGTAACGCACAAGATGGCTGTAACCCCGCATGTTGCACGCTGATGATCGTCGGGTATCAGTGAGTGGTATCTGCGAGAGAGTAAATGACTATTAGGTGGCACACGTGCATCGACTATGGGTTAGATAACAGCCGGAAGCAGCTCAGAATAGAAGAACCTTCATGTGGCACGGAGGAGTGTGCCAGCAACACCGTTAAGATCGGATCCTCACGTTATGTCCGTGCAGTCTTTGAGAAATTGTGTAAGAAATATTTATATGCAAATCAGACGGGCGATAAACCGCGGGGTTGAGCTGTCATCAATTAAGAAATATCTTATTTATCTGGCAGTTTATAATTAAAACCGCATTTTGACGGGCAGAAGATTAATTGATTGAAGTAATTTATTATTTAAAAAATCTTCGTAGACTGTTTTTCGATGACCTGCTTTGAGTTCTTCAGAGGCTTTAGGAAATTCGTACAAATGCTGTCGAAAGTCCTTGCGGAGCACTACATTTTAACCTGCAGATGGGAAAATTGGCAAGCGGATCAGGCCTTTACTGAATCATCAGTTTGAGAAATTCGCAGTTGATTTTAGAGTTTTGACTTTTAAACCGCTGTAGTTTTGTGCTTGTTAACTTTAGCTGCTCGCTGAGTCTGCCAGAAGCCTCTTTGCAACCATGTTATGATCGTTCTAGGGCGTCCTGAATTTCGTAGGAGTCTGAAAAATTTGGTGTGCTTGCATGATGTAATTGAGTTGCATGTTGGTTCGGGACTTCAGGCTGCAAAATTGGTCTGCGGATGTTCCTACTCATGTAAGGGTTTCAAATTCAGCTCCCTACAAGTCCGAGTCTTACGTTGGGATATGTGAAAGTTTTGACGTGCACATTGGGGCAAGAAAAGCTAGAAAACTGAAATTTTAAGAAGCTGCTCCTCGCCTACGTACAACTTCACGACTGTTTCAAATTCAGCTCCCAGCTATGCGTGGTACTTACGTACAGACATGTGAAAGTTTTGGCAGAAAGTCTGCTAACTAGGGAATGAAAAGCTGGAAGACTGCAATTTTAGCGGGGTGTTCCCTATCCAAATATAACTTAAAGATTTCAAGTCCGGTCCCCAGGCGTGCATGGTTCTCGTGCAGGCACTTAAACCTTTCGGCAGGAAAACTGCTCATTTTTATGCGTTTTTTGCAACTATGCAGTGTGGAAAACGCGTATTGACGAGAGATTGTCTGTGTGTGTGTGTGTGTGTGTGTCTGTGTGGGCAAGTTGATAACTTGAGTACCTGGGAAGCTAAAGGACTGTAATTTTAAGAGGACATACCCCGTCCACTTAAGTTTCATTCAGCTCAAACCCAGCTCTCGGGTATGCGTGATAAACACGCACGGGCCCGTGAAAATTTTTTTCCAGTAAGTTGCGAGCTCAAGAGCCAGTAAAGCTAGAAAGCTGAAATTTTAAGGGGGTGTTTCCTGCTAGTTCTGGCGGCCAGTCTATCGCGACCCTACCCGTTAAGCGTATTAGGCCAGTGTGTGTAAGTGTTTGTACGTGTGTACGACCCCTCGTCCTATGTACATATTAATACACAGGATATTAAAAAGATAATACAAAAGAAGATAGTGAGGCTCTGGGGAGTCGAAGCTCCCCAGGATAGGAATAGAAGCTAAATAAAAATAGGTCGCAGTGGTGGATGGGTAGTGGCGATCCCGGCGATGGGAAGGGATGCTTTTATACCCCAGGGTACAAAGGTCGAAAGTTCAGTGAGGGTAGGGTGGCCAAAGTTTGAACCAGGGACAGGGGTATTGCATCATAGTTGCGCAGTTCTTTAACCTACTTTAACAAAAAGCATTAATCATTATTTGATTTATTACACGACTTTAATTTATCTAGAAACATTTGCCGAAAAACCGATGCCGGTAGAGAAAAAAACTACGGGGAACTATGCAAAAAACACATCTTGCACGGGCAGCCCCTGCGTTGGCCAATTATTTAAGGGCTGAGTCGTTTTTAAATACGTCCACTAAGCGGAAATTATCCTTTTTCGTTTATGCAAAATATGCGGTGATTTATGCTAATGAGTGCACAAGGTAAATGTAAAGCAACAACCATTCATACAGTTAACGATTTGATTAGTTCAAGTCCGACAACCCTGGCGCATTTCAACCTGGTTTTCTGATGACGTTTCGGAATCTAAGAAAAAAGGAGCAAAAGCGCATATTGGGGCGAACCTATGTGTGTGTCTGTTCGGATCTTTTTACTCAGCAAGCTTTGGTGCAAAAATTTGTCAGTGTGTTCCCCGGCTAATTGAGGTCCCAGGATCTTTTTGCTAATATCAACTTTCGCGCACTTCCACGTCTCACGCGCGGGTACATGAAAGTTTTGACAGGGAAATCACTAACTCGGAACGAGAAAAGCTAGAAAGCTGA